AGGCTCCGAACGTCCCTCCCAGGTGCTGCTCACAGCAGAGCTTTCCCTGGGACTTGGTGCCCTGTCCTAGCAATGAAGTCCTACGTGTATCCACTTGCGTTCTGCATTGAAACCAGACCTTAGAATACAGGGTATGGAAACCTGAAGATTATTGACACACACACGTGCATATATATAAATATATATATATATATATATTTTTTTTTTTCAGAGAGGGAAATCTCCCAACTCATACAGGTGGTCAATTACAAAAATTCTGCTTTGATTGTTTTGCCTGAGCTGAAATCATTTAAGGAGGAGGTGACACAGTGGACTGCAAGTTAGCATCGGTGTATGTAAAAATTGCAATTTGGGGAGAAAAAACTAGAGAGTGTTTTTGTGAACTATCTTTGCAGCACTGAGGAAAGAAACACAGTAATTGGATCTTTGTTGAAGCGCAGATGTACAGTCAGTGTACGAATATTGGAAGTTTTATGGCTAACTGTTCCGGTTCTTCCCTCTTTCCTTCGCTCCGACGTTTCCGTAACTCACATATCGGATTTAAAGTTGGATTTAATTTTTTTTTGTTGTGCCATATCTTATTTATCCTTTTGCGTTATAAATATATAAATACCTATTTAGACTGAATGATGCTATTTTTGTGAACTTCAGGGTCTAAACTCAAAGGAAAAAAGACTATTGGAAATACTTCTTCAGTTGATGCATGCAGACCTGCCTTGTGGAAGAGTTTTCGGGAGTTTTTTTTGCAGTTTGAAAAACAAAATCCATCTTTAAAACAATTTTTGAAATACTAACCCTGAAGTTCTCAAGTTTGTGATCCTCTGGTGGTTCTTTTGTTTGTTTGTTTAAGGTACATCTGGTTGCTTTTTCTGGTGCAGTCAAATCAGCCTTTGGAAAGGTCCCGTTTCTGGAGTTAATGAGGAAAAGATGAAATGGGTTGATCCATCCTGCTTGGCTTTTTTTAACCTATTAATCTTTTAAGCGATCAATTTCAAATGAAAAACCAACTCTCTTAGGTCTCTGTTCTACTTAAACTTTTTAGGAGTGGGAGCCTGCCCTGGCCGAGTGGGACTTGGATGGGGAAAGCAGGAGATGATGAGGTTGCTGTTGCTCAGGAATTGATTAGTAAACTTTTAACTACTAATAAAAATCCATTTTGCAATGGATTTTTTAAAAAATACCCATTTTCTTAGAACAGTGATATGGGATGTTTCCTAGTGAATAGGAATTAGTTTATATAATTTAGCCTATTAAACTGAATTATTTAAAATTCAAACTTCCCCTAATTTATCTTTTTTTGTTTTGGGTTTTTTTTTTTAACTGGTAAGTTGTCCTGTCATTCCTTTCATTCTTCCATAGAAGTAGTGTGAATTCTTCTGGTGTGTATATATGTATGTATAATTATATATATTTCCACCCTACCTTTCTAATTCTCTGCAATGTAAAAATTAGTTTTTTCTCCCCTCCCTTCACTTTAATTTCTTGTGTCTTTACCTTGATTTGTAATTGAAACGATGCTTTGAAGTTTTGTCTTTATATTAAAGTGTATGTATTTTAATACACGGTTCTGTGGTGGAGTTTCACTGCTTCGCAGGACGGACCCGCGCGGGGACCCGCTGAGCAAAGGCAATGGAGGGTCCTGGCCGGCAGCTTCCTGGAGCCAGAGGCGGCCCCGGCTCCCTCGGGATTAGCAGCTCGTCCAGCTTTGGCCGGGGCTGGAGCCGGGTAAGACACGAGGGATTCACCCGCTAGCGGGATCCCCACCGCCCCGGCGACGTTCACTCCCCGCTTTCAGCCTCTGATTGCGCTGATGCAACGCAGCTCTATCAGGCCCCACATTTATCCTCGCTTCTGAACATTAAAATCATTTTAACCTAATAATTTTTGCTGCGGGATCCCTCAGCTGAGCGGGAGACCCGGATTCCTGCAGCGCTCGGATAGCTCCTGGAGCAGGGCCGGCTGCGTGGCCTCCGGCAGGGAAGGGCTCTCCTAGGAGCACCAGCTCCCTCCTTCCACCCTCCCCGGCCACGTCCCTTAGAACAGCTCGAAGTGCCACAGTGATTAAAACCAATTTTTATTGGAAACATTCATTGTACAACAGATAAAACAGCTTCAGTATGCTTTCAGGGAGCCTCTAACTCAATGCTTATGGTAAAAGGCCCCTGAAATACAAAAAGCAGAGTGAACAAGAGTAGGAAAAATGAACACTTGTCTATAAATCACCAGCAGTTAATGCAGATTGCTAAAGTGGCTACAAGTACCGTCTCCCTTACTCCTGAAGCCTAACCCAGTGTCCTAGGAGTAGTCTCGGCGCTGACCTAGTAACCAAGTTACTGGCCCAGGACAGGCCCGTGTAACTTTTTCACAGCATTTGTCTTACATTCAGTTAAGAAATGTCACTGTTACTTCTTAAATAAGCGTTGGGAGTCTTTCTTGCTCACCCAACTGTTCCCTACGTCTAACTAAAATGCCCGTGTGCTGCACAGTGGAGGTGGCAGGTGTCTGACCTACCTTCTGGAAGGCTCGTGAGGAGGGGAAGCTTGTGGGAGCCGGAGAGACCCCCAGCAGGAACCTCGCTCCTGCGTAGACTGACTTGCTCCAGAGGACCAAGTCTTGGCAAAATTCTGGAGTTTTGCTTGTAGGGAGGTTGACTTTGGATATTGAAGAACTCACTAATACTGAAGTGTGGGGACCCGGCTCGGCTTGGACATGGACGTCACTGGAAGCGGCTGGAATGAACACGGAGCTTCTCCTCCTGCAGCCCGGCCAGCTAACGCTGGAGGCAGGACCCGACTCCTCCGCGTCGCCGGGGGAGCCGCCGCCGAGGACGCGCAAGGCGCTGCCCTGTGACCCTGACCGTCGCGCGTCTGGCACCGCGGCGCTCGGAAGGCCTCTCTGGTGTGTGGATGGACAAAGCCTGTCATTGTCACAGTCAAAGAGGTTGCTGTGTACCCCACCAGCAAGTCAGGACCCTCTTCCTGCACTGAAGCACAGGAGGCTCATGAGGATTAAAACACACTTAAGTCATCTGAGGACACCAATTCCCTAAAGCACAAGCTCTGATACGTTCCTGCTTTTAATCCCTTATTGCTGCTTCCTCTAGAGTTGCCATCTGTCAGCAAAAATAACCTATTTTCTGCTTCCAAGCTCTCGGGTCCTCAGTTTATTGTGCAGGACAGCTGTCCCTCTGCTATTTTGGTAATGGCTGGAGCAAGCACCTGGAACCACTGCAGGGAACGAGAAGATCTGGGAGTAGAAAGGAAAAAATCTTGGGCTTGAGGTTAAAAGTAAAACATGGACAGCATCTGCCACTCTCCTACTGCACCCCAGTGTGAGGTAAAGGCAGGCCAGGCCCTTAAAGCTTGCACACACAGGCAAGAGCTCTCACCCAGCTCCCTCTGTGCCAGAGCCAGAGAGAAAAGCTGAAAGCTGCAAAACCCCAGGGCTCAGGTCAACCCCGAGGGCTTCTGCTGGGGCAAAAGAAGCCTCGTGCCGTCTTCTCCTGCTCCCGGGGTTAGTGAAGTCCCTTTTGTCGTCACCTGTGTGAAAATGTTACCTGGGAGCTTCCACAAGGATTTCTTGAGGGAATGCCTCTATTTCCATCAGCTGCAGTGCTTGGCTGCACCTTCTGCTACTTCAGAAGCCACCTCTTGGCTCGGAGGGACTGTCCTGGTGGCAGCTGTGGTCCCTGGCAGCCGCTCTGCGTTCTCCTTCCCGCAGTCACAGCCCAGCTGAAGGTGCAGAGCGCCCCAGGAGAGGTGCCCTTCTCTAATGCAGATGGTTTCATGACCGGAGTCCCAGGGAGGCAGCGCTCGTTCCCGGCACACGGCAGAGCCGGTGCAGATCTCTGTGACCTTGGCAGAGGTTCTGGTCTGTCCCTCTGCAAGCTCCCAAAGCTGGGGGGAAAAGCTGCAGCAGGGGCTCAGGGAACGCAGTGTTAATGCATGGATGCCATAAGCTCCCTGGGCTTAACTGCAGTTCTGCACGCCCTGAGGCGCAGACATCGAGCAAAAGTGCACGTAGCAGTTCCTACATTTACAAACCTCCTTGTCTGGCCGTCCTCTCGGGGAAGCTAAATAACTGCACGTCTTAGCCCAGCCCACAGTACTGCAGAGGGAAGCAGGATCATGAGCCACGGAGCTTTCAGCCTGCTGCTCTCCCCAGTGCTTTGGGGTTAGACAGCCTCCCCCTCCCCACACATTTGGGCTAAAAACCTGTAGTGTGGGCTGGCCCTGGGGCCAGGCTTCATCAAGCCTCTAGGAATCAGCACCACCGGCCCAGGGAAGGGAAGAAAACCCTCCTTGGGCAGGTGCCAGTGGCTGCACAGACACTGCTTCGTGGCACAGGGCAGGGAATGCCCCTTCCCGGGGGCTGCAGCAGTGGCTGAAGCGCCAGTGTGAGTCCCTGCTCCTAGAAGGCTTCCTGCTCCCCCTCGCTCAGCCCCCCCTGGCCTTCAGATGCTGCTAGCAGAGGTCTCAGCACCTGAAACAGCTTTGTAACAAACTGGAAGGGACACGACAGGGTTAACCCTGCCTAGAAATGCAATCAGCTGCAGCATCCTCATATAGCGAGGGCTCAAACAACCCTCTACAGCTCCCTTGGAGATTGCTGGAAGAGCCAGAAGAACCGAGTAAATTATTGCAGGAAGGGAACAGGGATGAGAGGGAAGCAGGCCCTTGCTGGAGGACAGCAGAGGCCGGGGACTGTCTTCGCTCCCTGCCTCTGGTGGGAGCAGGGGCTGTTTCCCTCCCGCAGCTGCAGTGGTGCAGGCAGGGCACGGGGGCAGATGTGTCAGTGCAGCCACCAGCCAGCTCGCAGCTTTGGTCTACAGTGAGCGGTTAAGACTCTGGCTGGTGGGAATGTGCAATGGATTCCCTTAAAATCATACAAAATTATTTGGCTAATAAATAAAAAAAAAAGTCACTTGGTCACCACTGTGGAGAACTGCTGCCCTTCCTCCCTGCAGGAGCCTGGGTTTGACCCCTCCTTGAGGAGGCTGCGGCCAGACGCCCGGCCAGCCCAAGCCAGGGTTATTGCTTGCGTGTTCCCAGCTGGAAGCGGGCTTCCTCGGAGATCCCGTACTGCTCCAGGGGGTCCTGCAGCAAGAGCACAGCAAGGGCGTCAGCGGGATGGGGACAAGGCCAGCAGGACTGTCCCTTCCCAGCGTGCAGTTCAGCACAGGGGCACCGCACAGCAGGGCCGGTGCCGATTCCTCCTGTGCTCCCGTTGGGCCTGGCTGCTGGTTCCCAGCGCAGCCCCTGGGGAGGACCCAGCTGAAAGCAGCGTCCACCGGCTGCGCTCACCCCACCGCGGCACGTGTGCTCCGGGCTGGGTCTCAGCCTCCGCCGCCCCCTCGGGAACGCCGGGAGCGGCCGAGCTCCAGGCAGCCTGGCAGGGTGCGAGCAGCACCTTGAGCCGAGCCCGCCCGGATCCTGCCAGGGCCAGGGCTGCCCGCGAGCTCCTGCGGGGCTTGAGCTCAGCACCACGCTGCGCCCGCGTCCCCGCCGAGCACGAGCTGCATCTTCCTCAGCAGAGGAAGACTCAGGTCACTGGGCTCGGCAGGCTGTCAAGAGCACGGCTTCAGGAAATGACCTAAGGGATCTCTTTCTACGCAGAGCAGCAAACACCTCTGTGTAGAACAGGTGGCAGCAGCACCTGAAATCAGCAGCCCCTGCTCCAGGCCAGCACCTGCAAAGCCAGCTGCAAAGGACTCACCTTCCCTGTCATTTTCTGGATCTCATTCCGGTAGAAAATCAAGCTCCTCCTCATGAACTCGTAGCTGTAAGACAGGAACAGACTATGCAGCAGCAGGATGAGCAGAAAAGGATGTGGGGAAGTTACTGATGCTATTTAGAGCTGAAGGGAAGCTTGTTTGGGAGGAGACAACCACTTTCCTCCCCCAGATCAGTACAAGCAATGCTCAGAAGACAAACAGTGCAGGGCTGCACAACATGGACCCTGCTGCAGTGGCCCAGCCTACCTGGCTCGCTTGAGTGCCTCGATCCACTCCTGACACTGCTCTTCACTGTCACATTCAAAGCAGTATTTCCTCTCTGGCTCTTCAATGAAGCCTAGCAGGGATAAGGAAAGGAGTAAGAAGGGAACTGAAAGGCAGAGTCACCTGCAGCCCTTAGCACAAGTCAGCCCGTGGCTGCCGTTAGCACCTCTGTTGGTCTAAGCTGGCCATGAACAAGCTGGTAACCCGGACCTCCCTCTTCCCCACTCTCCCCTCCTGTTTCCATGCGTGGTTTGGGCTCACACTCACTCCCTGTCCCTTCTAAGGACAACAGCCCAGACAAGTCGGTCTCTGCACAAGGTGCTCGTGCAGTTGTTTGCTCCGGGCACCCGTTCCGAAGGCACTGAAAAGAGCAGACACGTTGCCACAGCTGCCCCATCCCTCCCCTGCGCAACAGCTCGTTCCTAAGAGCCTGTCCTCATCCAGTCAAGCTAAAGCAGAATGGGGGTGACTGTGGCCCAGAGGTGCCTTAGTCACCCAGAGCACCTCGCACTGCTACGATCCCTTTGTGCACATCTTGCTTGGAAAACAAAGACACCAACTCCAGGGGCACTTCTGTGCAGCATCTCCCAGGTGGCCTGGAGCAGCTGCCTGCAGCAAATGTCAGCTTAGAGCAGCCAGAGACTTGGGAGAGGAAAGAGCAACTTCTCAAACTGAGAGTGACAACTGGGATGAACATAGCCAGATTTAGGACTGAAATTTCCTCAACCTCCTTGCAAACAGTCACCAGAGATTTAGTAACCAAAATGGAAAACAGTCCCAAGGAAATTATTTTGATATATGCGAAGGGCAGCCAGCTGAGGAATTAAATCTCCCTCAGAGAAGGCACTGACCTGTCTTTGCTTGAGGCTTTGGAGAATTTGGTCCCACGCACAGTGGAAAGCAAGTCCCTGTGCAACTGCAGTTCTTTACCGAGACAGAATCAGGACATCTAATTAATTATGTTGTTCCCAAAGACCTGCACTTGGGTACACAATTCACAGAAATCTAGGCTGCTGCTGAGGAGTAACTGGGTCAGGCTGCATCAGACCCCTCAGGGCTGCTCTGTGGGGACCGAACCTGGCTCCGAGTGCCACCACTTTTAACACCTTGCTCAGGAAACCTCATTCACCAGGGTCCTCTCAGCTCTAAAGCCCTGGTAATTCCGAGCGTGGTGCCTGGACAGGTTGGTTGCTCAGGCTGTTTCGAGGTGAAACACGGTCCCCCAGGCTGGAAGAGGAGACCAGGCTCTGCACAGAAAAGCAGCTGTGCCTGACAGCCAGGCCAAAAGATATGGGGATGGCCTTGGAGAAACATCCTGTTATTTTGCCACATACCTCTCGCACAATGATTAGTTGTTGGATGAAAGGCTGCTTACAAAGAATGCCACACCACGAGCCAGCTGGAGTCGTGGCTATCAACACAAGGACAAACTCCGGGGCGGGAGGACTGGCGCTAGATTAGCCCGACAGATGGTTTATCTGAGGCTCAGGTTTTCTTTTTTTTTTTTTTTGATAAAATGTAATAGCACAGAAGCAGCAAGCTGTCAACACCAACCCTCCTGAAAAGGGATTTCCACATGCGCTAAGCCATGGCCAGTGTGTTTTTACAGCTTCTTTCCTCACATGCAGCTGTGCAAATCACACACCCAGCAACGAAATGCCCCATCCCAGGAACGGAGCAGGGCAACCCCGCAGTAACAACTGGCAGCTGACAAAGGCAGGGGCTGAGAAACACTAACCCAGTGTAACCAGAGAAACACTGGGAAAAGCAGGAACTAAGTAGTAAAATATTTCCCTTTACATGGTATTTTAATTGCATAAGGCAAATGAAAAGGGAATCCGTATGCAGAACTCACTGATTGAGAAGACGTTTTCCTCCTCTTTGGTGATTCTGCAGTGCTCCAGCAGCAGAGCTCCGATGGGCTGGAAAAGAGACCAGGAGAAGGGGTTTAAACACATGTTATCCAGCCAGTGCTCCAGGTAGGGATCGCCGGGAAGGCTGCGCTCATTTCAACCCAGGGGTGGCTATAAGGGAAACCTGCCAGAGGAACTGTATTTCTTTGCATGTTCTGCACTAACTGCAGCACAAACAAAATCAAACCCAACAAGTTATGCCAGCGCAGCAAGTTCCTGACCTTCAGCTGATGCTGGAATTGATGTGCATAATCACAGCCTAATTCCTTTGTGGAGTAAAAGAGATTTGCTCAACTATGAAGACAGCCCAAAACACGTGAGATAGATAGATAGATATTGCTCACACACTTCTGAACTCTCATTGTTTTGTTACTGCCTTTTAAGCAAGATTCAAAACTCGATGCTCCTTCTAAGGTAGCTTAGTCCAGAATTAAATCAATATTCAGTGTTCTTTTAAGCAACCTACTTGTGTCTGCTAAAGACCTTACTGTACTAGCCTTAGTTTTAGCACTGTTTCTACTTGCTCAGATTTGGTGTAGGGGCTACATTTGCTTCTGCAGTGACAGAATTTACTCTCTAGATCAACAGATCAAATTAAGACAAAATATTTCATATCACACACAGAAAGACTAATGAAACTCCACATTGGATTTTCTCGGGCCAAAACCAAAGTTTTTCTAGAGGCTAAGAACAGTGTGTTGATGAACAAGAGCAGTTTAGGATAAACAGACAACTGGTAGATACTATTTGCCACCTCGTGCACACTGAGCAAGGACATGAGAACCAAGGAGCGATACAAGCCATAAACAAAAGCAAGTCATGAGTGAATTCCTTTGTCCAACCTAAACAAAAGGCAAGACACAAATAAAGCAGAAAAGTAGATACCGAAAAACCTGGTTTAACATATAGTTCTGGCACGATGGTTTTACTTTAGTATTAATCACCTGCCAAATAATTTTTGATCTAGTCAGTAACATCACCTGCCTTCCAGCCAAACTCACAAAAATGCTTAAAAATAATAGTTGTCAGAATGGAAAGCAGCAAAACTAGCCTTGGGTTACAGTAAAGGAGACATGTTGTATGGAGTTTCCTCAAGCTCTCATAACAGGATGCTCCTAAGGCAGGTACACATTAATCTCTGCACATAGAGAAGAAGGATTGCTCAGCTTTTGGCCATACTTAAGAGTGATTTGATTGCTGCTTCAGGAGAAAAGTGATTAGTGACTGCAGGTCAGTAGGCAGGAGGAAAGCAATGCCTTAAAATAAGAGCACAGCCATTATCATGGTTAAATTTCATAGCAGACACAGTCTAAAAATGCCACAGAAAGCTTCTCAATTGATTTGTGATAGCTCTTGCCAGCACATTCACTGCGTGTTTCCTTGTACTGGCTATAGAGATTCTTTGGATACTTGTTTTTCATCTAGAGAATTTTTAGCAAGTTATTAATGGATTCACTAAAGCCTAGAACATCTCAATAGTGAAACCAAACCCAGATGTCCCATCCCTCTATCTACTTTTCCAGACCAAAACAGGGCCCCCACATGCCAAAAAAAATATTAACTGAGTATAACCACACAAGTTTCTCAGTAACGCTGAGCACTGCACGTAAGCAATGTTCCTGGGGTAGAAAAGAAGAAACAACGCTAAATATCTTCTCAGGAGAGCATAATATAAACTTCCCCTCACAGCTGAGGGCAAAAAGATGAATCCTACACCCAAACACGGCAGATTCCGCCGTTTAAGGCTGCCGTGGTTACAAGATCCACTCCAGGTGCTCGTTCACAGCGCGGGGATGGGGCTGCGCCGGCGGCGGCAGCCGGTCGCCGTACGGATTTACGGAGGACCCCGAGCGAATTCCCAGCTCCGTACCTCCGCTTCGTCCGTGCGGAAGTAGAAGAGAAAGTTGACGACGAGCTTCACGAGCCGCTTCTTCAGCACTGCAACGAGAAGGCGCCGTGAGGAGGCGAGCGGGGGCCGGGGATGTTCCCTCCTGGCCGACGCGCGGCTCAGCCGGGAGCAGGGCAGCTCCGTTTTTAACGTAAACCTTTGCCCACATGAAGCAGCACCAAGCCCTGCGCTATGTCCTGCTTCCCCCACGCAGGGAACGCGCTGCCTGCTTGACCCCAACAGGCTGCTCTGGGCCACGCTGCAACGAAAAGGGGCTGGCAGCATCTCGTGGGCTTCTCCGAGACCTCCTGGTCCTCCCTGAACCTTCTGGGCCTCCCTAAGGACCTTCCTGGACCCTCGCGGGACCTCCTGGTGCCCCCTGAGATCTCCTGGTGCTCCCTGAAACCTTCTAGACTTCCCTAAAGACCTTCTTGGACCCTCTTGGGACCTCCTGGTGCCCCTGAGATCTCCTGGACCTCCCTAAGGACCTTCTTGGACCCTCCCGGGACCTCCTGGTGCCCCCTGAGATCTCCTGGTGCCCCTGAGATCCCCTGGACCTCCCTAAGGACCTTCTTGGACCCTCCCGGGACCTCCTGGACCCTCCTCCCACCCTGAGACCTCCTGGACCTCCCCGAGGACCTCCCGGGCCCGCATGGGACACCTCGGCCCGCTCCCATGCGGGCAATACCCCCAACCCCGCCACAACCG